GGGTTTGAGATATCGAACTGATCACTACGAGTACGGAAAGGGTAGACTGAGACTTAACTGTTGTGGCGTGGGCCGACATTTAGGAGGGAGATTTATGTTTAAGGTTTTGAGAACAGAATAGTTGTTGGTGGCGTCGGTGTCCTAGTGGTTAGGCTACCGGACTCGTAATCGTGAGGTTGCGGGTTCGGGGATTCGAGCCACGGGCCCGACTTTGTGTCCTTGGGAAAGGCACTTTACACGAATTTTCCCTCACTTCACCCTGGTGGGAATGGGTACCCAGCTACATGTATAGATAGTGAAAGATCTTATCAGTTTGTTAATGTTTGAGCGCTTAACCAGCTGCTTACACTGTAAGCTTCCCGGGAAGCTGAGAATGTTTCTGAGTGTTCTATGGTCTGGTGGGGTAATAATATAGTGTATAGCGCACAGATCTTGCTTTCGAGTGGGGATATGCCCAACCCTTCACCCTCTCCCACTTTCTCCTCCCAAATACTCTCGAATTATACCGCCCACCCCCTCACCCTCTTCATTTCCCCAAATACTCTGGTATTTTACCCCCCCCCTCCACCACTCTCTACCCTCACCCTCCCATCCCACCCGAAAAGTCCCACACCGCAAATGCCACCTCTACCCACCCCAAACCCTCTCACCCCCCCCCCCTTTCTTCCCACTAGCATCTCATCGTCATCAACTCAAAATAATAACTCAGTCAGCATTATGGTGGATTTTTATTAATCGTGTTTACCTATTTCTACTGTTCAACCTGGTATCCTTCAACTTTTGTGGGTGGTTGGCGGGTTCTCTGGTGTGGTTTGCTTCTTCTTTCCTATCAAGCATAATAATATATCGTCCTTATCTCCCCCTTCTTCTTTTTTATATTAAATTGTTACTCTCTTGTAACACCTCTAATCTTCTGGCGCTCATATGACCTTATGCAGTTGCGAGCGCCGTAAAACCTCTACTAAAAAAAGGCGTTTCACATTAAGCCACGTACAAATTCATAATTTAAGAATATTGTATCTCCTTTGGAAATGTGTACACTTTGCTTATAGTATCTGTCCCCGTGGTTTTATGCACCCCGCATAATTCAGCAAAATTTGATCATTATTTGCATAGTTTCTGATTATTTTTTTTTTTATCATTCTTTGTTAAAATTAACAGAATCGCTCAATTTCACATTTTTGGGCTCAGTTTGCATAATTTCAGAATTTTTCTAGCATAAAACGACGTGGACAGAACTATGTACAAACAAAAGAAATAACATAAATACAAACGTGTGCGCAATCTCATAATCATACACACAACCGAAGATACACACACACACACACACACACACACACACACACACACACACA